AGGTCGAGTATGACCCATCCACCACCACCCTCTGAGTGCGACCCCTCAGCCAATCTGCAATCCATCTGACTGTGTAGGCATCTATGCCACAGTCGCCTAGTTTTTTAACTAGGATGGGGTGAGAGACGGTGTCAAAGGCCTTGCTGAAGTCCAGAAAGACTACATCCACCGCGACACCTGCATCCATGGCCCCAAAGTTAAGCAATTTGCCCTGCCAGTCCTCATTCTTACACTCAGAATCTTTCTCCTGCTTCTCCCTGGTCCCCCCCTAGCTCATTTAAGATCTCATCTAGATCTCTTCCCACCCAGCTTCCAATCCTACCCTCCATCCACCTGCTTCTCATACAGTAGTTTTTCAATACACCCTAGGCTAGTTTTTTGTCCCAGTCTTCCCTTTTTCTACCTCCATGTCTTTGCTCACCCAGACCCAATTCTCCTCCCGCACCTCACCTCCTTATCATATCCACCACCCTTGGCCTCCTCCCATACCTCCTAAACTGGTTCCTAGTACCAGTTTTCTCATCTCTCCAGTCTGACCTCAGTGCTCTTCCAGCCAATTTGCTTCCAGTTTTCCCCAGTGACTTTCCGTCCCAGCCTCCACTCCACCCCCTTCTGCTCAGTTTTGCACCCCAGTCTCTCCAGATATTATCCTAATCTCTTGTTTTCTATATCCCTGTTCCAGCTTCTGTTCCCTCACATTCAAATGAGGCATCTTTCTCCTCCTTTATTCTGGGAGCAGCCATTACCATATCCAGCTTCACCCCAATGCAGTCGTATCACACTTTGGGGGCAACACGTACACTCCCTAGTCCCGCACACAGGAGCCAAGCGAGCATAACACTTTCCATGCAGATAAGAATTTTGGGAGCAGGGCAGTTGCATGCAATTGTGAACAGGGTCTTATAATAGGAAATGTTGGAGAACCTTAATGAAAAGTATTTAGCCCTGACAAAAATGTAGAGTGAGGGTTTTAAAACTGTCCAAAGTATTTGGGTATCCAACTCCTTTCAAAATTAATGGGAACTGTCATCACAATCTTCAAGGAAGCCGTAACTATTAAGAAATAGGGTTCTCAGCATGTATACCCATGTGTAGATGATTATTCTATTTCCATATAAGTAGTAATCCATATTCTCTGTGCATCTGTGAATCAAGTGCAATTAAGAAATGATTTTCAAATCACTGGATGAGCACTGTACTTATTGCTGGTAGCAAAGCAAACGTAAGTGCCACGTGCAATTCTCTGCTCTCAACCACACAGAAGCAACCACAGCAGATAAGACAGTTGCCCTAGCAGCAGTGAAGACAGAAAATGGCCCTATCCTACACAAGAATGTGGGTAAAAACTCCCTTTACAGTCGCATCACATTTACACTATTTTTTATTCCACCGCCCGCACCCCCCCCAATGGATAAAAAGTATTGCTACATAATAGATGCTCTCTGAGCAACATGCCCCAAAAATGCAGCTAGAGCTGGTATAAAAATGGTGTGTTATTCAAGCAACAACAAAACATAATCCAAGAGCATATTTCCTAGGAATTACTGACTGTATGAGCGACTTGAAGACCCAAAGCTAAACTGAAGGTCACTGAATTAAATCAAGCATTAATCCCGAAGAGCCTCCATGCTAAATTGTTGATTTAAAAAAAAAACCAACACAAAAACAAACACATCTTTCCTCCTAAAAAATAGAAAGCAAAACATGTCCCTAAAGGCTTTATTTCAAAGCCAAAATCCTATCAGCTATACCCATTCTACCCCAAAGAGAATGGGTGTGTGGCACAAGAATTTAAGACGACAAACCTAAACCTCCCTTTATCTTATTTCCCCCTCCAGAAACCCATTTTATTGTTTTCCCCAACAGCCTTCCATAAAGCAGAACTTGAAGCAGCAATGCTGCCCTGTGAGAGCCTTCTTAGAAAAGTAATGCCTGTTGTAAAGTTAAGTATGTTGCCCTGTGTGTTAACAAATCTAGCACCAGCCCAGACTTCATACCAGGCTCACCTGCAGCAAGAAACATATTTGATTAAATATTGTGAACTTGTTTTTAAAAAATTCTTATGGACAAACCCTTCTAAATAAAGAGAGTCAAAAGCAGTCAGTGACCAGGAAAATAAAGCTCCATAGCTCAAATGCAATCCAATCACGTGAAAAACAAAAAGGGACCCCCAGTCAGCACTAACATGTCTGCTCAAGAACCAGGGAGCATTGAAGTGCTGCTACCTAAAAGAGGAAGAATAAATGCACATGTTGAATGAGTGCAACATCTTTATTTTTTGCTGATGCGACTAGTTCTGTGTAAAAAAATATTGATCAGGCACAAAGGCAAATTTCAGTGGAGAAATTCAAATCGGAAAGTGTCATTTGTTAGGTTACAGGACTTGCAAGATAATTGAGAAAGGAATGTCTAACTCAGCTTGTAATGCATAGATTAGCCAAGATGCAATGTAACTGCTTGATAAAACAGTACATTTAGCAAGTTAAGAATGATTTTCCAATGGAAAGATGTGGTCTTTCTGACAAACTGGCACTATAACACGAGGTAAAACAAGTAGTATAGTTTTTCATTTGCTCTCTCTCTTAGTAAAGGTATGCATGCAGAGGAGGACTTCTAAAGTGAAGCTTCAAAAAAGGAAGTTTCACTATGTCAATGGGTTGCAGATAATCCAAAAGCTTGTCTATCATCTGATGTTTGATTATACCCCTCCATGGCTTATGAGGGTGGGGGATTTTGATCACATAGTAGCTGGAAGATTTTGTGACTAAGACTAGAAAAAAGCCTTCCTCCATACTGATTCATGCTGAAAGAATGTAAATTCCCTGGTCTTTAATGAAAAGGTAGCAAGTGATAAAAGAAAAATGATACCCCCTCATTATTGTAGAATTCCTGTCTCCTTAAAGACAAAAGCAAAATGCTTAGTGCAACTGCTCGGACCTTTTTACCTTAAGAACTCAATGATTCCTTTACAAACAGGGAGGGATGGAGTCTTTCTGCTCCTCAGGCTTTAAAGAAACATAAATAGGTATACAAAAGGCGATTTACATAACTTGGCTATTTTACAGACAAACTAAACTTCTGATAACAAGGAAGTTTCACACAATTTATTTTAATATGATCCAAGGAAGATTTGCTTGGGAATTCTAATACATTGAGTCATTTGCTACTTGTAGCCTAAAATAGAGTCAAACATATATTGCAATTAAGATACAGTAAAAATGATCCACCCATTTGATCATAATTTACATCTATAGATAAACCATCATTACACATAACGTGACACAGCACGGAACAACAATAAGACATTAGAATCACACCCTTTTAATTTGGACAGCCTAGAGACGTATACATGCTATTTTGCAATGAAACACCCCTCAAAAGGAGGAAGAAATGGAGAAAAAGACGACTTGCTCATCCTTAGCATCTGATACATCCGTCACATGGAAGTAGAGACCAGACAGAAGGCCAGACTTATCATTTGTGATCAGTTTAATTACGAGCCAAGTTTCTTTATTCCCAGTCTTGCGTCTTCTGAGTCATATCTTGGTATTGGAAATAGGTTTATCAGGTGCAATCCTGGCTCTGCTGAATTTAAAGGAAATTTTGCAGTGGCTTTGATAGCCCAGGAATTCCCCCAGTACCTTGGGACGACTCACAGAGGAAAGTACTGCTCATAGTTTGTAAGAGGAAATACTGGGAGGGAACAGATTTAAGACTCATGTAATTTTAAAGTGACTGCTCAGGTCCTTTCCAACCCTACCAACTATGAAACTATGACTCCAAATGAAGCTCAGAAGTCTTCAGAGCCAGTTTATTTACAAGCACTTAGTCTCAGGGTACATTGCACACTGTGGTTCGTGTGGGCCGTGATGTTACTTTATATAAAAGGAGTGCTGCCACATTTGCTCATAAACAACTCGTCCACTCTCTACATACATGATTATCCACACTTCTGGTTCAATATTTCTGATTCCTTAAGAAGCATCTCCCTTCTCCCTAGCTCAAAAACTGTAATGGATATAATCCAGATAGAAGAATGGAGTGGTTGATTATTAAGGAAGTAATCATTGATGAAAAAGGGAACCAATAATGTGCTTGCTAAGACCCAGTTTAATACAGTTTAAAGTTTAGTTTAAAGAATAAAGCGCAGCTTTCATTGAAGATTATTTGTGAATGCGAAGTTGCAAAAATACTGCATAATATCGCCAAGGTCACTAACATGCATTTTAGAACTTCAGTTTGAAACACTCGTACATTTTAAATCCTATTAACTTAAGATACCACTGTCAGGTTATTGTTAAATCCAAATGTAGATATTTGATATCTGCATTAAGGCTTTTTGAAAACGTGGATGAAAGAGACATGAGTAACGCAAAAGGCAATTATACTGTCAGCTGCAGCGAGGAAGCAGGCCTTCAAGTCTTGAGTGTTCCACCATTATTTCAACGGTTCAAATGAACAGAATGTGTCATGGTTATCTAATTATGTATTAATCTAATGTGAAAACTCTACATCAGTGATTCTCAGCCAGGGTGCCACAGCACCTTGAGGTGCCTTGAGATCCTTTCAAGGGTGTGCCAGGGTGCCATGCAATGTTAGTACAGCTCAGTGTACAAACATGAGGCACAAGAAAAATCCAGAGATTAAGTAGGAATCCATAGTATTAAAAACATTCTGACCTGTTGTGGTCTCCACAAGTCCTCTGCAACAGAAAAACTGCTCTGTTATTTTTCTGTGGTCAAGAATTGAGTGAAAATTAAGAGCAGACATTTTCTGAAGTGTGCCTTGAGTCTAAAAAGGTCAAGAACCACTGATCTACATGGTTTAAGGTTGTAAATTAAAAACACATGATAGATTGCTTTGGAGCTATTTGTACTTTTGAGCCATGTTAACTGAACATAGTAAAGCAAGGTTACATTTACAAAGCACCTTTCATACTGCAGGGTGGCTTTACGAGCTTTAGGCACAGTCCTGAAAGCCTAGCTCATATGAACAGTCTCCAAGGGAAGCCAAGAGGACCATTTGTGGAATGGTCAAACTCTTTTGTACATATAGGATATTCAGCAACCTCTTGGTTAAAACATCAGCTAGCAAGTGTCCTGTACACAACAAAGATGCAGAAGGAGTATGCAAATGAATAACTTGGTCAAAATTTTCTCTAACTCTGACCCTACTATTCATATTTAACATAAGGTTAAAATACCACAACATCCAGAACTCTGCCACTCATCTGGTCCCGAGTCATACGTCAGACAAGATAAATCTTTCCAAATCTAATCCCTTCACCACCTGCATTTATAACTCTATGCAACACTGGATTCACTGCCACTGGAGTTCTCCCCAGTAACCAGACTGACTATTTCTTAACCACAAATTATGTGTAGCTACCTCAAACTACATATTACACCAAACCCATCATCACCAAAAAAAAAAAAAAAAAAAAAAAAAA